CTCAGTATTTGAATTTAGGACGTTGTCTTCTGTTGACGAGTGCGAAGAATTCTGTCTAACACTACCGAAGGTGTGCAGAACGGCTCAGTTTGATGCTGGCAGAAAAACTTGCGAGATATTTTCTTCTCCTCCTCTGATTGGCTTGGCTCCAACCCAAAGTGGTAAAGATCATATTGGTATTTTTTTAGTTAAAAAAGAACAAAGTTCAGGGCGGCGACACTATCGCGATGTTCAAAGCCATTACACAATGTGAGTGTGGGTGTACTGCATGTTACCATGACAATTCTTTGCAATACAATTTCCTTGTCGAACAAAACAGGGTGAAATGTGACAAATTGTGGCATTTCAGCGAAAAATGCGCCCCCGCTTTGCAACCATCAATCGGCAGCATTTACCTCATTCCTCGGGAGGAGTGCTTTGGAAAACCAGAAAAACCGAACGAGTCAAATTCTCCAGTAATTGAAAACGTCATTCCATCTGAGGTCAGACTAAGACTCAAGCCTCTGCATGAGCTAATGATAGAATTTCTAGGAGAAATCTTTTGGTGGCGAAGGTCTACATTTGAAGCCTCCTCGAGATCCTTTTCCACCTATCCCAGTGGAGGTATTCTATTTGAGACCTAATCAACATCGCATTTCAAATTTTAAGAATATAGTGCTTCAGATCCTTCCAATAGTGCCAGACTGTCCTATAGGAGAGAAAGCACGAGTCCAGGTTATAGATGGGGTAGAGGTGAGAGGCTATGCGATTAAGGAAAATTCAATATTTTTTCAAACTTCCAGGTAGTCTCATCAGCCTCGGTCACTTTCACAACTAACACACCGGAAACTTGTGTTCACGCTTGCATGACTAGCAGCGTAATATTTACACAATTGTTCCTAGCTATACATTATTTCTTAGCAGTTGTCAGCTTACTTAAAAATACCTTTTCAGTATCCCGATGCAACACGACTTCCTCTACTCTGCCGCTCTGCACAGTACGATCGTCACTCCTCTAAATGTTTCCTTTATCCCGATGCTGTGAATCCGAACGGATATCTGGAGTATAAACCCAATATCGACGTTTTGTACACAGAAAAAATCTGCATCTCAGGTCAGTAAGCCATTTATTTTAGTCGATCTCTACAGCCATTTCAGATCTTTTGCTTCCGATATCGTGTGATGAGATCTTTCGACGTATCCC